ATTAATACACTAATTATCATAGACTTTAGAGAAAATTTATCATGTATCGATATAATGATTAGTGTATGTCTTACGTTGTTTTTATTTTTATTTTTTTTTTTAAAAAAAAGCAACTTTATTTTCATAATTTTTTATTTCTAGTTTAATAATGAAACCCTTAAGCCACTCGGGCAATTTTTAATTTTTCCTGAAATTATTGAAGAAGGTTTACCGAACGTGAACGTGAGAAATGATGCAATAATTGATTCGAGTCAAGCCGATATTTTAATTCAATATCTCGAAAAAATACAAATTTGGAATTAGATTTTTTTGATAAGTATAGATATATGGAAAATAAACTATATTCAGTAGTTCCTTCAGTATTTTCAAGTTGGGATTTAAGTGTCGAGTTAGATATCAAGGTGAGTAATATGTCTTTAAAATAAGTCGCATCGTCAGTTTTATTTCTTTAAAAAAAATATTATAAACAAATTCTATAGCCTGAAATTTCCGCACCAGGGCAACATATTTTCTTCACCATATATAGACGGCATAGCAGCATTATATATTGAAGTATTTGGAAAATCACAATCTTACGAACAACTAAAAGTGGCATTCATGAATAATGCTATTCCTTATAAAGATCACAATAATTTACTAGCTCTGGTAGTTATCCAAGACGCAGGATTCGTCGACGCTTTTAAATTGTTGAAAGCAACCAGCCTTGTCTATTCACCAAAAATTAATTTGAATGATACAGTTCATTTTAATGAGCATTATACATTAAAAATCTATAATGTTGGAAGAAAGGAGATGAAATATAAATTATCACACTCGCCAGCTCCAAGTTTAATAGATATAATAAAACTTTTGTAAGAAATTATTTAAACTTAGAATATTTTCCAAAACAAGAACAATGTGCTGGTGTTGAATTTGATTATAATCAAATTGCTGTGCCACCTAAATTAAATGTTGAGGTTTCTGTAACATTTATTTTACCAAATAAAATACCCAAGGATTTACATTTGTTTTATAGTTGATGGTTAGAAATAATTTCGGTAGATGAGAACATAACTACAATGACCGTTCCTTATGGTAAAACAATTTTCCTTGCATATCTGCTATTTTGGATATTCTAATGGTAACACGTCAACTTTATGATTTTATGTAGCTGGGTTAGCTGATGATGCAAGATCGTTTCCATTATTTTAGACACCTCAATTCCCTGTGCTTGTTAATTTGATTCGTAATGTTATCAGCAAAGAAGATCTGATTGCAACTTTCACCTTAAAACTTTTAAATATTACTGTGATACACATGATTATCCATTTGTGTTACTTAATCTTGCGACTCTGAAATCATATCTTATTACTGAAATACTTGATGCCAATAATAAGTTTTTAGGATAGGTTAAATATTTTACTGGGATTAAATAACCAATAGTATTTATAGTTCATTGGGATGGATTTATTCATTATAATCTTGATAATATGACAGGATCTGGTACACCTACTCCTGATAGAAATTATTTATTAGAATTAAAACGTTAAAAATGTTTAGTGATATTAATAACGAGAAGGAATATGAAACTTGGGTCAGTCCTAAATTTAATATTAAGAGAAGTGCATGAGAATTCTGAAATTTTAGTCGATATATGTATGAAGACCATTTTCTATTTTAAATTGTAATAAAATAGTATTTTAACATCCTTATTATTTTTTTAAAATAAAATCTCAATTTATTTGCAGTCTCTAATGAATAGTTAAAAAATTTAGTTGGTTATTCAAATGTTTCTATTTTTATTTTGTTAAAAAGGCATTAGAATTAATTTACATAGTCGAAAGTATTTTATTAATTTGATAATCGACGACCTACATCACGTCCGTTTGAAAAAATTATTTGAATTACCTAGTGAATTGTCCGTACTGAAACTTAAGATAGTATTACATTGAAGATAATTCCGCTCAAAATCCACATGAGAATCGCTTTTGATATTGCAGTTAGTCTTTTAAAGATCAATTGCCAGGCTGGCACAGTACCAGGTTGTCAAGGCAGTGATGACAAATGACCAGGTAATTTTGCGATTTTGAAATGACATCTGAATGACCTTCGAATGACCTGGTCATTTGAGGTCATTTATCATTTGGTCATTTAAATGTAATACAGGCCAAATTTTATATGCTGGCCAGAATTACAAATTTATATCACGTGAAATATTTATGAAAACATTCGAAATTATTTTGGCCAGAATTATTGAGATCACATGATATAATTTCTAAATGACCTGTCATTTGTCATTTAATGTTGAAATGACACAAATGACACATAACCAGTCATTTGAGGTCATTTGGATCACTTGCCATCACTGTGTCAAGGTGCCATAATGACAAAATGTACAGAACAGCTTAATATTCCATGCTCGCCCTTATTATAATTTGCATACATTCACCTCGAAATCCTTCCTTTAATAACTTCGCGATATTTTCACTTTCGCCATTTTAACTTTTTAGATTTCTTATTTGTAACTTCGTTTATTTTTAAATTCCGTATTTTTTATTATTCAATTTTTTTTGTAATTGTTTCGTATTTGCGCAGCTTTAATTAATTACTTAGTTTTAATATTTTGATATAGCGAAAGTGTAGAGCGCTGACGTTGAGGTAACACTGATCGAATTGATAACATTAAATAAATTTAGCGTCATTATTACTTCATTTTTATTCAATTGACACCTGCTTACAATCAAATTGTTTATAAATACATAAAAGAAAGAACTGAATACAACAATAGTTACGATAATAATCCAATTTATTCACCACTACTATCCATCTTGGATTATATGGTATCTCATCTTAACCTTTAATTTCATAATGTTTACATAATCCAGTTTATTAGGCAAACTTTCGTCCGATCATGTGTCCACAATTTTTCGCATGTTTGTTTATAATTTACTTACCCACAGTCTAACTAGTTTAGCTTAACATACTTATCCAGACCATAAACTTTTTATATATCGATTTGACCTCAAATTTGGATTTTAAAAAGTAAAGATAATGCTGAATGGTGAAATGAACGATTTGAAATGATTATATTTTCATATTGGATGTATAACTGGTATATGCTCAAACTACTATACTTAGTTTCAAACCGGCTAGTTCCTGGTTTTTACTGTATCGATCAATCTTATAAACCAGTTTAATGACCAAGCTTAAATAAACTCGTTCTGAGACTCCATTTAATAGTTTTCGTAACTACCTTTTTATCACGTACTTTTCTTAATCTTCGTATAACATAATTGCAATATTATCAATTATATAATGACAGATAATGTGCAAGCCAAACACATATATGGTTGAAAATGAACGACAGGTAAATAAAGTAAGCTATGCCATCCAGTTTGGCAATATCTCTTTTGGAATATGAACAAAGCTTGTTTTACTTATAATATATGTCAGCAAGAATACGGTCAGAAAACAGAAGTTACTAGACACATAGCTATATTTCCAAATTAGAAAAATAATAATCTAAATCAGGTTTTAAATCAGGTTTTAACTAGTTAGTTTAATCTGAATCTCAAGTAGTTCGAGACCTGTTTCTACTAGTTTGGAGCATAAACTGAACCGTTTGAGCAACTTAACATCACTACATTTTTATTACTAACTAGTTTTATTTTTACTGAGATAATATATAAATATATATTTAGATATCTATAAAGTATAATGAAAAAGGTTTATATTATTCTTTACTTGAATTTGATAAAATGGAGAATATGTAACTGATTGAATTAAAGACTACAAATTAATAATTTCTTATGCAAAATAATTATATTATACTGGTATATAAAGATTAATGATAAAATTCTAAAAATATCTTTAGTGATGGAAGTATTCCAAATTATTAAGGTTTCTAATTATTTCAATAGATACTGCCCTATTAATTTAAGCATTTGATTTCTATATTAAGACATAAATATTTACTTTTCATTTGTTTTATAAATTCTAGGCTTTTTTGTAGTATTTTTTAATGCTAATTAATATAATGAATATACAGTGCATTCAGTTTAATTTAAATAATTACTCTTTAATTTATCTAATAAAAAGTTTGATGATTTATCATTATCAAAGTATTTATATAATATTACATTTTAATATTTTTTAATTTAATAAATATATTATATATTTTAATTTTAATTTAATTTTATATTTAAAATAAGCCAAAATAGGCAATTTTTATAAATTTTATTTGTGACATATCAATATGCTTTGAACAATTAATACTTATTTATTCTTTAAAACAGCCTATAAACTAGAAATAACTTTCTATAAATAAGCAAACAGAATCATATAATCAATCACTTTAAATATATTTATGAGCTTTCTTAACCTAAGGTAGAGTTTAGACCCTTATTCTAAATTAGGTGTATTTTAAGTTATATATGATGTATTATTTGTAAAACTATGTCATATATCAAATGATTACTTCAATAATAAAATTACTTTATATTTTATCAGAATTATATATGCTTAATAAAATATATTTTTTGTGATTTACATTATATTTATTAATATATCTGAAGGCATTTCAAAAAATATCTCAATTTTAAGCTGAAATATTAAATACATATATGATTTTATATGAAAAATTCAAGAATATTTTTATAATTTTTAAATAGATAAAATGTGATAAAATAATAATATTAAAAATATTATTTTGTTTATGATCAAATATTCTTAAACAGAAAAAAAAAGAAATCAATTCAAGAAATCATTTATTTTAAAATATAATTATGCTTTTTTTATTAAAGCAATGATCAATTTATAACTAGACCTTTAGCATACTTTAGTTGTGAAATAAGATTATAATTATGAAATAGTTATTTTAAACCACAAAAAATTTCTTTATAATAAAAGAAAAATTTCATAAGATATTAGAAACTAAATTAAAATATAAACTATTAGATCTATACTTAAATAGAAATATAAAGAATTAAAGATATAAATTTATGATAATATTTATAATCATATATATTATTAAATGATAAATTATATCTGCATTTTTTTTAAAATAGATAAATTTATAAATAATTTAAAAAGAGATTAATTGATTAGAATATAAAATAAAAATTGATAAAAGTATTAATGAATTAATTTAAGTAATTTGATATATTCTAAACAAAAATAACAAATAGATTTTTAAATATCCTTATTTTTAATAATATATTTAAGATTAACTGATTCAATATGCTATTTGGGATCTTTACTAATATATATAATTTTAGTTGAAATATATACTTTGCTGATGCTTTAATATGTCAATAAACAATTAATAATTTTACATAACATTTAAATCATTTGTTTAAGATAGTTAATAATCATCAAAAAACAATACTTACTGATAATAATAAAATAATTTCTTATACTATACAAAATACTTTTGACTAAACATTTATTATATATATAATATTAATGAAATATATGATTAAAAACCTAAATAGTACGTTTAAAAAAGTGTTAAAAAAATTTCATAAAAGATTTTATAAAAGCATAAGAGAATATGAAGTCAAAAATTTTATGGTTAAATAGAAAAATCTTAAAATAAAATTTTTAAATACTAAAATATACTTAAATAAAATAAATAAAGTAAAGAAAAAATAGTACTTTATTTTAATAGAGATATATATTTAGTAGATATAATAAGTACACAATGTAAAAAATCTATGAATAATCTTATAAAATATTATATAAATACTACCAATTCACTTTTAGACTTTTTAAAAGCTTTTAAATCTATATTAGAGCAGTATAATACTGATTTACAATTATCTAAGTACAAGTAAAATTAATTTAATATTTTAAATATCAAGTAATAACAATACAAATAAATTATACATTATAATGGTAAAATTTTAAATAAAAATAATTAGTAGATTAAGAAGTCAATTTTATTACCATATAGATCATTAGGAAAATTGTTTTATATATTTTATTATCATCAATAATTAAATAAAAACACATTTTTTAAAATTTTCTATCTTTAATTCTA